GAGGCCAATTCCTCATTCAAAATAAAAGCTACAGAAATAGCAACCCTGAAAGGTGGCCAAATTTTTTGCCTGAACTGAACTCTTCCCATAAGCCCTAGGGGAGCAGGGGTCAAAGCCACTGCGGATCCCCACGGAGCCGGGAACACAACGCCCCTGATGCACGAGTGCCCTGACAGCATTGGTGCACACAGAGAGCCTCTTGCTGGAGGGGGTGAACCCAGCAGGGGAGGGAAGAGAGTAAGCAGTGTCCCACTGATGAGTGGGAGGTTGGCAGTGAGACCCTCCCTGTTCTCGGACCCGACCCTCACCATGGCAGAAGCAGGGCTGGCAGCCTCACCCCCCGACTCACCAGCACATGTACACACTCCACAGCGGAGGAGTTCACCCACCGGGCTTCAAATGTCCTGTCTGTCCCAAAATGGCACTCCAGAGCTGTCTCCTGGGAGAGGAAAGACAAGGGCAGAACAGCTGCAGGAAATTTTTGTGCAGTTCTCCATCTGTCAGCCGATAAGGCAGGCATTGTGTCCCACCTTTGTTCTGCTGTCGGTACCTGAACTGTGTCCAAGTCAAACAGGAGATCAGAACCCAACACAAAACGAGCGGACCGGGAGCTGTGCCTGGCCCGGGGCACACAGAGAGACCAGGAGCTGTGCCTGGCCCAGGACACACAGACAGACCAGGAGCTGTGCCTGGCCCAGGGCACACAGAGAGACCAGGAGCTGTGCCTGGCCCAGGACACACAGACAGACCAGGAGCTGTGCCTGGCCCAGGACACACAGACAGACCAGGAGCTGTGCCTGGCCCAGGACACACAGACAGACCAGGAGCTGTGCCTGGCCCAGGGCACACAGACAGACCAGGAGCTGTGCCTGGCCCAGGGCACATGCAGACCAGGAGCTGTGCCTGGCCCAGGGCACATGCAGACCAGGAGCTGTGCCTGGCCCAGGGCACACAGACAGACCAGGAGCTGTGCCTGGCCCAGGGCACATGCAGACCAGGAGCTGTGCCTGGCTGGGCTCTCATAATCCTGACAGCAGGGTACCAGGGTTCCCCGTGGCTGGGGGTCTTTGGAGCTCATGCTGCAGTGCAGACCAAGAGTCACTGTTGTCTTAAGCCGCTTTGTGCAAACCAGTCCAAACCAGCCGGTGATTTGGGCTCAAAGTCACCTTCCTCCTCCTCCCAACAACTACATAGAGCAAATCTTTAATTCAAATGAGGACCCAGCTGGAAGCATGTTTCAAAGACAGATTTCTGAGCTGTTTTCCTGATAACACAAGGATGATATCCTGCCCCAAGTTACTGCTGTGCCCTCATCCTGCAGGAAAAAATCCTCTCTCCAAGAAGGTTGATGCTCCACCACTACTGAGGTCTAACTACTCTTTGAAAACTGGCACATCTGATAAAAGACATGAAAGGAAGCACCAGACTCCAGACAGAGAGCTGCTGGCTCAGCAAACACAGAGGCAGTGCATGGCCTGCACCCAGGCAGTTCTGGCTCTGCAGGCTGCCCGTACCCCCGGCCTCGTGC